ATATATTTGTCTGTGAGCGTTGAGTCTATTCATTGGGTTAAACAAAGCACTAGTGAAAAGCAGATAATTCAATTCAAATACATTGGATTGAGCAAGATCCATGTAAAACCATAAAACCAGGGCATCGAGGTGTGAAAAACCAGTCTATTTGGTATAACTGGATGGATCGCTGATTTTTCTGCTATTTCTACTGTCATGTAACTACATAACGGATACTGAGACAAGGAGAGCCGATGCATTCAAGAGCACAGGGAAAATCCAGGCTTGTATTAAAAATATACTTGAGGAAGGTACGTGTGGTGTATGTTTAGTGTGCACATTGTAAACAACTCCAGGTGAATGAGCATGAACAAATATAATGTACATGTTTTAAACGGAGCATTCATTTGTTATCAGTGGTTGTTTGCTCTCCTTTGCCTCAGCCTCCGGTGTGAGTCATCCATAAGACCTGTCACATTAATATTTAAAAACAAAGCTGCAGCAAAGTGTCAGTGTTTTATCGTCCATGAGATTCAGTCCTACAAACGAGGGCGGTGGATGATCAACATGAAACACATGAAAGTGAAAAGTGTTCAGGTGTTGAAATTATTTTAAAGAAGACATACTGTGCTTGTGTTTGGTATGAAATGAAATATAGACAGAGATCATATATAGAGGGATAATATAGACAGAAATGATGAGAAACGCAGTGTTTAAGCTCTGGGAAATAAATGTGAAAATTCTCAAAATAAAACATTCAAATAAACTTCTAACATGAGCAAAAAATCCTGTATTTTGAGGCATTTTCAGATGTTTTAGTTCAAAACAAATCACAAACTTCATCACTTCCTCCATGTTTGGTGACCCTGAGATCACGTTTGTTGTTGTGAGGTTTCGTGAGATTTAACGTCCAACCTGAGGATGTTTGTGAGTGAAATCGGCGTGATGTGAGCGGCCAAAACTGTTAAACCTGTGATTTATTTTCCCTTTTTTTTTTTTTCGACATTGGTGTGGGGTGTCTGAGATTTATAATATTGGTTTGGAATATCTGCTGCTACATCTGCTGCTACATCAGCTGCTACATGCGAACCAGGCTTTACTTGGTTGATTGAACTAAAAACAGTATCAAACTCTGCAAACTCTGACCATAAACATAAAAATGAAAGTAGGGATGTGTCTAGGCAGTGGCAGTTTAAATGCAGGGGAAGTATTACCCAAACAGGCAGTAATCACTCTACAAACAACTTTGAGTGTGGAAATGAGATGCCAGAACAACTGGGATATTATGAAAAGATACTCAACTTGATGCTGCACGATATCACCTGTTTATTTGTGCGTTAAAAATGTCCCACTGTGAATTTAAGCTATTTAAGCAACTCCTCTGGTGAAAGGAGAAAGTAGAGCACTCCCTCATCTCTATAAACCCTAAAAAAACATGAGAAAAGTTAATTAACCATTCGCCTCAGACAATATTTGCACGATGACAGCAGAGACGCCAGATCCTGCTCAAAGCAAACGACTTAACTGGAACTAAACCAGGACAAAGCTTTAGGCGTTTTTCAGGTTCAATATATTTGGTTGTTGTCTTGACAAGAAAACACTGGCAAAGCATATGATCTGGCAGAATGAGTATTATCACGACTTACTACGTGTAAAAACACATTTGCGACATTTAAATATACAATCAAAATATGAAACAGGCTATTCATTGGAAGTGGTTCCGTTTAAAACTCTTTCTCCATAATCTCAATCAAACAAACATAACACAACCATAACCTGCCAACAACGTGAATAATTCAAAGTGGCTTCAGATATAATTAAGTTGAGGTACCTAGCTTTTAAATTACAAAGAAATTGAAATGTCGTAAATTCCTCCCAGTTAGTTCCTCTCTGTCAAACCTACCTCTATAGATTTCACTTTTTTTTAAATTCAGACCAAAAATAGTGGGATGAAGACAGCGTTCAGTGGTCTGATTTGTTGTTACTTTTACAAAACGGGACAAACGTCGTATAACAACAATGAAAACTAAAAGGTAGGAAGTCTAGCTATAACTTATCGCTATTATTATTCTAAAGACAATGCCATGGTCCACACATTCAACACTATGGTCCACACATTGCATCTACAGTAAACTGGGACTATAAAGTAGCACTGGTCTAGAGCAAGAGCAAACCCGGATCAACCAGGACATGTGACTGGGGCATTGACTTCATTATGTAACAAGAGGCTGGCTAACGTGCGCTACATTGATAAATTTGCTTTAGATGAAAATAAACAGACTGAACAGTAGAAGCCTGGGAGCATGCGGCTGATGTGGTAAACATTTACAAATACAGAGATGATGGACGCACAGAGAGGAAGTGGTTTGAGTCTAGAAAAGAGGAAGAAAAGCCGTGACGAGTCGACGTGTGGATCTGTCAAGTGGATTGTTTTTGCCCTGTGATCCCTGCATTTTGAGAAACTCAGAGACATCCAAAAAACCTTCTGTTCTGATTCAGACATAAAACTGTTTATAAATGCACAATGCTAACCCACAGGCGCAATGAAGCCCAATAGGGAGGTGCTCAAGGACGAAGTTTAGCTCAGGCTCCTATTGACTAACACTAAGAAGTTAACTCCTGTATCTCAGTAAACGCTTGTGTCACACACGCACCATATTTTAGGGCTTAAAGAAAATCGGTGGTTTTAGCGACCTTTGCAATCATGAGGGCATTGTCTTTGTAAATCCAGATACAGTGCATCCGGAAAGTATTCACAGCGCTTCACTATTTTCACATTTTGTTATGCTACGGCCTTATTCCAAAATGGATTGAATTAAATTTTTCCCTCACAATTCTACACACAACACCCCATAATGACAAGATGAATAAAGTTTGAGATTCTTGCAATTTATTACAAATAAAAAAACTAAGAAACCACATGTATATAAATATTCACAACCTTTGCCATGAAGCTCAAAATAAAGCTCAGGTGCATCATGTTTCCACGGATCATCCTTGAGATGCTTCCACTGTGGTAAATTCAGTTGATTTGACTTGATTTGGAAAGGCACACACCTGAATTTAAGGTCCCACAGTGGACAGTGCCTGTCAGAGCACAAACCAAGCATGAAGTCAAAGGACTTGTCTGCAGACCTCCCAAACAGGATTGTCTCGAGGCACAGGTCTGGGGAAGGGCACAGAAACATTTCTGCTGCTTTGAAGGTCCCAATGAGCACAGTGGCCTCCATCATCCGTAAATGGAAGAAGTTTGGAACCACCAGGACTCTTCCTAGAGCTGGCCGACCTCTAAACTGAGCGATCGGGGGAGAAGGGCCTTAGTCAGGGAGGTGACTAAGAACCCGATTGTCATTTTGTCAGAGCTCCAGCGTTCCTCTGTGGAGAGAGGAGAACCTTCCAGAAGGACAACCATCTCTGCAACAATCCACAACAAAGAAGTGGCTTCAGGACAACTCTGTGAATGTCCTGGAGTGGCCCAGCCAGAGCCCAGACTTGAATCCAATTGAACATCTCTGGAGAGATCTGAAAATGTTTGTGCACCAACACTCCCCATCCAACTTGACGGAGCTTGAGAGGTCCTGCAAAGAGGAATGGGCAAAACTGCCCAAAGACAGGTGTGCCAAGCTTGTGGCATCATAGTCAAAAAGACTTGAGGCTGTAATTGCTCCAAAGGTGCATCAACAAAGTATTAAGCAAAGGCTGTGAATACTTATGTGCATGTGGTTTCTTAGTTTTATTTATTTTTAATACATTTGCAAGAATCTCAAAAAAACTTTTTTCATGTCATTATGGGGTGTTGTGTGTAGAATTGTGAGGAAAAAAATTTATTGAATCAATTTTGGAATAAGGCTGTAACATAACAAAATGTGGAAAAAGTGGAACGCTGTGAACACTTTCCAGATGCACTGTATGAGTCCTAACAACTGAACAATCAGGAGTAGCCTGACGACAAATTCAGATTAATCTAGTGTTTATTGCACATTCGGATAGGCCGGATTTGTTCCCGATTGGTGCTTTGTAACTCTTGCATAAAATTGGCTCCACATTATCGCTCAAATATCCTGTTCGAGATTGCTCTAAGTGGGTTATTCCACATAAAGGCTAAGAATAAAGTGTTGAAAATGTCTCTTTCTACTTGTTGTTGATTACGCCTTATGTTTGCCATTTTAAATTGTGGGTGAAAATTGAAGCTGGCAAATTTTAAGTTCTTCATTTTGTTCCATGATAAAAGTGTAATGTAAATGCTGAGCTTTGACAATCTAAATCAGATTCCCCAAAAGGTTAACTCCTCCACAGCAACATTGAGGGTAAAATATAAAGGCCAGGGGAAGAGCCACGCTGGTTTTCTCTGCTTGGACCAAGTTCAATGAAGTTAATGTGTTTGCGGTCAGCAGTTTGAAACCATTGAAATACAAAGTGCATAAGTACAACAATAGACTACTGCCTCCATGGCCTGGCTATGGATAAAGTGACTACAAAAATGAAAAGCAGTAAGAAAGACTCCAGTGAAAACAGTGTGATACAATATTTCACAGTGCTTTAGTGTTACAGCAGGGGTGACCAAACTTTATAGAAAGTTCACCATAAATGTCCAGGGGCCTCTAACATAAATTATAAAACCCTTTCAACTGAAGTAGGGCTCTGACCTTTTAAAATGAGGTGTGACATCAGAGCTGAAGCTGGCTGAAGATTTTAGGGTTTCAGATACTACATAAAAGCCATAGGAATGTTCTGTTACAAATGTCTATGATACAGTCGAAGACAAATGTCAGATGTACAAATAAAGTAAATGACTGGAGGATTTCTTTAGCTTTACACGGTATGACGAGTACTATGAGCTTGTGTTTGTGATCTGAGGGCCGCATACCACAGTGGGCCGTAATTGGCCCGGGGTCCTTAGTTTGGACATGCCTTGTATGTCATTACACATACACACACCCCCCAGAGACCCTGCATCTCACTCTCTCTCACACACACACACACATCATCATCACCATTTCCCGCGTGCACGCTGTTGCCACATGTGCAAAGTTTTTGAATCTCTGCGCATACGCATCGGGAGCGCGCACTGGCCAGTGTACACGCGCACTTACCTGCAGGAGACTGAAGCGAAGAAGAGGAAGAGGAGGAAGGCCAGATGTGTGGACACAAGAGACCGACTCGCACCTGTCATGAGCAGCTGTTTCATCACAACACATGGACTTCCGGTCGGAGCGAGCGTCCTTCAAAATAAAACACAATCAAAATCTACCACATCTATAGATCAGCTTATTCTGACAGAAAGGTGAAAAAGAGAGGACCACCCTTACTCAACCAATCTGTCTTCTCACAGGCCTTTGTTGTGTAGGTAAGTAATGAAAATTATCATTTATTTTCTAATAGAAAACTGTTGGGGTTAGGGCTAACCCTGACCATGGATCTAAAATAATATGACCCTGACACTTGGACGTAATTTTAAATTTTAAGAATTTGCTTTTTTAGTCATTCCTCACCCCCTAATGCCCTACGGACCAATGGCTTCTAATGCATTTGTATTGCTTTTCTTGTGATCGAACTGTATGATTCTCTGATATGTTGTTGACAAATTGACAACTTTGTTTCCGAATCAAACCGCTTCTCCAAAGTTATTTTATTTTCCAAAGCCTCACTTCCGTCCGCCTCGCTCTGTGCGCTTGACTGATGCGCGCTTCTTAAACCCCGCCTCCTCAGAACCTGCGACAAATTATGCAACAGTAATATTTCTACTGTGATCTCTCCTCACATGTGATCTGCAGAGGAGGCAGCAGCGTTTAGAACGAGAGCACAGTCGTCTCATTACGGTTCGTGGGTTTGTGCAAAGTCAGCAATTACACAGTCCGCATAAAGAGCCATTAGGAACGAGCGCAATTACCGCGGGACGTGCAGTCAGAGTCAGGCGCTTCTGTTCAACAGGGTTAGAGAAGAATGTGGAGGTGGATGACTGCACATGAGTGCAGTTGGTGCTGAAGAGAAGTACTTTTTAGGTTTCTGGCTTTGGTTTCACAAATACGTATAGATGTATAGGATCTTTTTAACATTATGGCATATAGCATTTCAGGCTTAAGTGGAAAAAGATTAAATGGTTCAAATGATTGATATATAACTGTAAATGCCATCCATTTATACACTATCTTCCACTTTATCTGTAAGCAGGACGCGGAGGCAGCAGACTCCCCTCTCCACACACACTTCCCCCAGCTCATGCAGGGGAATCCTGAGGCTTAGGTGAGACACAGTCCCTCTGTGTCCTGGGTCTTCCCCTGGTCTCATCTTGGTGGAACATGCTCGGAACACCTCAGGGAGGTGCCCACGAGGCATCTGAAACAGATAGAATTTGTTAAAATGTGACGCTCCAGTTCAATATGTGCAAGTGTTGAAAACTAGCATGGTCTTGCTAACACTAAAGACAGTGCATCTGGTAACTGTTATGTCCATATAAATACAAGAAAATATTATGATGACAGTTTCCTTTTATAGAGAAAAATGCACATTATTTGTCTTTTGAAGTTTCACAGGTGTAGTCCTATCCTAATATAGCGACTTGAATGGCCATCAGGAAAGTACTACAATTTCTATAAAGCCAAGCAGGCAAAAAAAGCTTTGGATTTTTAAAGTACGTCAAAGGTTATTTTCTCAGTGGTTAAAAATAATGTTGTGTTGCTCCATACCTTTGCAACGTCCTCTGACCTAAATTACGCATCATACAATTGTCCTCTTTCCACGGTTCAGATGAAGAGGATTTTCCTGAACAACCTGCCACACCTGATGATTTATGCATAGATTAAGATTAAGAGATCCTTTATTCGTCCCACAGTGGGGAAATTTCAGTTTTGCATCAAATTATAGAACAGTACGAAAGAGGAGCACACAGACCAAGACAAGTGAACAATAGCTATTCTAATTAAAATAAAACAAAATCTCTAACTCAATCATCAATAACAAGTATAAAATCTATAGTCTATTATGTTGTATTATGCCCATATAGCATAAGGGTCTCCCTCCCTGTGGGTTTCCCTAGTTCTCCCCAAGGTTTCTCACTTTTTCCCACTGGGTTTTTTAAGAGTTGTTCCTTGTCGATGCAGGAGGGTCTTGTTGGACAGTTAGTGTCCAACAGAAAGGATTGGTGATGATCAGGACACTTTAGCATTCTACAACATGTATGGACATTTTCTTCTGTGTGTGCTTTATATTCTTCATGTGTTTTAACTGTTGATTCTCTGACCTGTGTTGGTGATTTCAATGGTTTTGTTAAGTCTCTGAGATGACTTCTGTTGTGACCTAGGGCTATACAAGAATAAATTGTATTGTATTGTATTATATATCCATATCCTCTCTGTATGGCAGTCTATAATTTATGTATTTGACTTGAGTCCAAACCATAGTTTTTCAGTCCCCAATTTGAAGCAATGCCCTTAAATTACAAACATTTATCCAAAGTGGGTCCCATTTTGTTTAAAGTTAAAACTATACAACGTCCCATGGGTTCATATATCAGCCTAAACATGATCATAGATGAAAAATCTCATTCTAATCATTATAACTTACAGTATTTAAAGTGATATTATCATAAGTAAAGTATGTATGATATAGTATAATCAGGCCAGAACATGCGGTTTGTCTTGTAAGAAAACATGAACTTTCCCACAGTAGAAAGTTGACAGAGGGTGGTATTCTCTTTTTATACATATGTGAAAATATGTGATTAGTTCCTCTCTCCGCTCTCAAAACATTTCGGGTCAAGATGATTTTACATTGTTACATTTTTTGGAGGTCTGAAAATTAGGTAGACCAAAATAACCATGTTTGTTAATATTTGTCCGGTGCACACTGGGGACTTTTGCAAATGTATTCCAATGTGGTTTTACTGCAAATGGAAAATGTATCTGAAGCTAATCCAGCGTTAACTTTACTTTCTAACCACTTATATGCACTACTTAGAACTGAGTGTGATGGCAAGTGTTGACAGAATTTAGTCAAATGTTTAGGCGTGGGCTGGAGCAGTGGTGTGATGTAATTTAAGTGGTATGTGTCATGAGAAAAGGCGGCAGGAGGTCATCAGATCATGACTCAGACTCACACAGGAGTTTCCGAACACACTCCTATTGTTTGTTTAAAAAGGGTTGGTGGAGGGTATACTGTTTTCTTGGTCAATAATTTCCAAGCTTGCTTTTTCTTAGCAACTGTCCCTCATTTGTCATATCTGGTTAGCCAGTGTAAACCACAAAACTCTGGGTTTAGTAAACTATACTCAATTTAACTCAAATACAATTCAACATAACATTTGTGTTTCCAATTAGAGTTTTATTGCCTGTAATAACGCCTTAAGAGTTTCACTGCTGACCAAAACTAGTTCAATATCGCCACCTTCTGGATAATGATTAAATTTAATTCTCCATTCAACGAATTTTCAACGAAATTGAGTTGAGAATGTATTATATTTACTAAATAGTCAAGGATATTTGTTCAAGCATTATCAAGTATTTTGACAGCATTATCAAGCTTAAGGTATTTTAGAGGGCGTAGCATTGACAGAAAAGGTCTCATGTCTTTTTTTCCTATTCCAAAATATGTTTTCATTTAATCTAATTTGGATTTATCTATATTATTTATGTGCGGAAAAAATGAGAACTTAATTATAAACCACAATGTACTGAAAAACGTAACAATTTTTTTCACAATATCTCAAGATACATGTTTCCGGCCTCACGCACAGCTTTTATAACCGCTTTTTAAGTCCAAAAATAAAAATAATACATATTTGAACACCTTCGCACAGCCAAGGGCCCAAATCGTCAAATAGTGACTCACATGGTTCTTAGCAAAAGATACAATGTTTGCTAATAAGAGGAAAGTAGTGTGTGGTTTTGTATATTCATAAAAGAAAAAAAGTTAGAAAGAACAAAAGATTTTACAAAACAACTTAATTGTATCTCTCCTACTCTCGAAGGATATCGCGAGATTTCCGGGCAATGGCTGCAGATCTCGGATATTAGAAGGTACTTTTGTGCTTTTATTTACTTTGCCATTTGCTCAAAATAGACTCATTTGAAGCGCTCTTTTCTCGTAGTCGGCGACATATGTGTGTAAGTAAATTATGACCCGTCTTTGAGCCGAAATCTGCGTTTATTTACATCCGCGGTGCCGGTGCTAAACATCAAACTTTCGAAATAAGAGCACAGCTTTTTCCGCGCTTTTTTCCATCACGAAAACAGCTAACGCAATCTCGGATTCTTTAACTATTATATCACGACATGGACGAGTTTAACGGCGTATTGATGGTGTTACTGGGTTTATAATCCTTGTGAACGGGTGCATTTGATCCGAGCTAGCCGTAAAAAGCTTCTTAAAGAGCTGTTAGCCGGTGTTGCTAGCGTTAGCATCGGCGCGAGGCCCGAGTCAGGAAACAGCAGCGAGCTTTTATTTTCAAATCTGTGTTCATCTCACCTGTCACTCTCTGTACTGACTGCACTTTCAAATTAATACTGCATTTTTATAACTTATACTGGAAACATGTGGTGGATAGTCATGCAACAATATACGGTTTCCCCTTTCTCCTCAGAGCAGCTGTGTTACCGAGAGTCGAAGTTCGTCCACATCGGAAAGTCCACTTACAGTAAGTTTTACTCAAACACTGTACGATTGAATGAATTATTGCATTCATATATTTATCCATTTCTATTCGTAATTTGTATGTTCAAGAAGTGTCATAACAAGAATTTTTGTTATGACGTTTGTCAGATAAGTTATTCTGCTGATGGATTTAACAGCACTTTTTGGCCTCAATTGTTTTTTGATCGTTTTAAATATTGTAATTACTTGTATGTATTATACATACTATTATTCATTATGTAGAAACTCAAATTAAAAACGTAATGTATTTTTTCTGGCTAACAAATGCCGTGTTTGAGAGAACACTTCAGTTACAGAATACTAAATTCCTCTTTTTGAAATGTTGTTTAAAATAATGTTTAATATTATTTTTGTGTGCGTGTGTGTGTAAATATGTATAGACAATGAATAACACTAGCTAAGGGACCTCAAGTTCCTGTGAGTTGATCTACAGAAAAAACATTTATTTGATTGTGTCTTTTGAAGTATCTTAAAACCTCTTCATTAAATGGTTGTGAATTTTCTGCAGCTGCTATGGCTCAGGTGGCATCCCACGGAAAGCTGCTCCTTCAGCGCTTGCACCAGCAGCGAGAGATGGACCTGCTGTGTGACATCACCATCATAGTGAAGGACGCAGAATTCCGGGCCCATAGGAACATCCTGGCCTGTTTCAGTAAATACTTCTCCACATTAGCCACAAAAGGAATCGACGTGGCTTCTCTGGACCCAGAGAAGGTCAGCCGCTACGCGCTGGAGAAGCTGCTGGAGTTTGTCTACACTGGACAGATGAATCTCAGCAGGTAAACGCCGACACTGATCTGTCTAGGATTGTAACAAGTGAATCCATATTGAAATAATAGATAATTTACTCATTGATTTTTGAACCTTAGATAGACACATGCTGAAAAAAGGTTTTATGATTCTTCTCTGAATGTTTCTGTTATAACTCTATAATGAATACAGAATTTATTAAAAATGTATTTTTAATAAGACATCCCAATGGATTAAGTCATATTTAAGACCCCCAGGGGCTTTTTTTTGGTGTTGGTGTTACTTGTACTTCTCTGTACTACATGAAAATTGACTAAAGTGACCAGTTGACATATTGGTCTTTATTTAATAAAAACAGGATTTTAGTCTAAACTCTATTACTTTTCTGAATAGATTAACACAATCTCTGCTTTGTTCCAGTACTCGTCATAGCGCTGTCCGTCGAGCTGCTGTCTTTTTGGGAATGCAGGAAGCCATTAAAAACCTCCCAGAGAGTAACGAGCCCCCCGAACCCGCCGAAACTATAGAACCCTCACAAACTGAAACCGGCAAAGAACCAGCAACTACTTCTCCTGCAAAGAACGATGTCCCCCAAGAAGAGGACAGCCCAAGCTCTCCACTGGCCCTTTCCATTTCGTCTGCAACCGGTAATTGGACAATGGATGACGAAGAGGAAGAGCCCGAAGAAGAAGAAGAAGAAGAGGAGGATGTTGGCATGGTAGTCGACAACGATGTTGACTACACTCCTGGGAAAAAGAGAGCGCGGAAACCAAAGACGTTTTTTGGTTGCGAAGCAAGTGAAAGCTCTGATTTGGCTGACAATACTACGACGGCTACAACCAGTGCTGGGAGAGGACGGGGTAGGGGGCGCGGTAGACCTCCCATTGTTAAGACCGAAGAAACAGACGATCCAGAGAAAGAAGCCCAAGATATGTGGGATACCTCGGCAGATTGGAGCCCTTCACATGACGAAATCGACGAGCCTCCTGTCAAAAAAGCCAAATTCGGTGGTAGAAGAGGGCGAGGCAGGAGAGGCCGCGGTCGAGGCCGAGGAAGAGGAAGGCCGGCAAAAAAATGTGACGTGTTATTGGAGGAAGACGAGGACGAGATGGAGCTGGGAGAAGACGGGAAGGAGTTTGGCGAGCAGGATCCGTCGGAGGCCAACGACCAGTCGTTGTCTTGTCTGGCGTGCGATAAAGTCTTCAAAGACCAGAGCAGTTTGAGGCGGCACGAAAAGATCCACAAGGGACTGAAGCCGTTCGCCTGCATTTTCTGCTCCAAAACGTTCAGACAAGCGACGCAGCTCAAGACGCATCTCCGGATTCACACAGGTACAGAACAGTGCAGCTCAGAAGGAATGGAAGGTTAAAGAGGACTGCCAAGATCAATCAACTAACGATGACTACTCTGCTAATAAAACAAATCGGGTTAAAGCTGCATAACCTCACTTTATTTTGTATTAATTGCAAAAATTCAATCCATAGCCATGCAGTGCGTTGGGATATGTCCTTTTGAAGAATAAGTAGCGCTGGGTTGTGCTGGTGTCATTTTATTTTAGTAAATTGATTGAAAAGGAAATACTTCCTGGTTCAAATATAATTACATATGATTGTAACACCAACCCCCCTATGATACACTGTGTATATAGTAATATCCTTCACAATATAATCTACATATGTTTTTTATGCTTATGTGAATTACCTGCACTAGTGTAGTAGGTCTTCACAAGCCTCTTTTTCAGGACTTTATGATCAGTTTTCCCTGAAATTAAGAAAACAAAATGCAGTTAAATCTGCTCTTAAAAATCAAAAGTTGATATTGTACAGTTTTCAATGTTGTGTGTTGGTATTTTAATATTTTGTCCCACTTTGTCTTTTTCTTTGCTACTTAACTGTATCAGCCGTGTCCTCATTGTCCTGTTGTGCTTTGTCCTGGTTCAGGTGAGAAGCCGTTCGCCTGCACAAGCTGCGATAAGTGTTTTGCACAGAAGTGCCAGCTCGTCGCTCATCGCCGGATGCATCACGGAGAAGAAAAGCCGTACACATGTGAACGATGCGGGTTCAAGTTTGCCACCTCCTCTAACTACAAAATACACATCAGGTAGAATACACATCTGCGTAAAAAGCTTCAGTCTAATTTTCAAGTTTCTACAATAAGTGTATTACTATTTTAGGGTTACAGCAGTTACTTAACAAATTATGAGACCTTAGCTCAATAAAATCTATTGTATTTTGATCATCCTAAAAGTATAAGGAATGCACAGACTCTAAAATATACAATACAAGAATTCGACTGTGGCAGAATGTTGTGCGCTCATTGAAACATGGTTAAAAGCTATAATATTATTAAAAATATCTTATCTTGTTTGTTCCAGGCTGCACACTGGAGAAAAGCCGTATGTGTGTGACATCTGTGGGCAAGCCTTTGCTCAGAGCAGCACTTTGACCTATCACAAGCGACGCCACACGGGCGAGAAGCCGTACCAGTGCGATCTGTGCGGGATGTCCTTCTCAGTGTCCTCGTCACTCATCGCACACGCAAGAAAACACACCGGTGAGAGCAATAACTTCCATGTAATATCAAAATTGGGTCTGAAAGATTTTGCAGTGCACATATTGCATAGCAGCAAAAATGGAAACAGCCTTGCGTGGTTTCGCTTGGGCGGACAAAGGAGTAGAATTGTTCCTTCGTTCGTAGCACACATGGTATAAGTTGATCTGCCGCCATTGTTGTTACCGTTTGTTCTCTGCTACTTTTAAGATAAGAGTTCCTTTATTCGTCCCACAGTGGGGAAATTTCGAGCTGCTGCTCGCCTGCGCCTTTGTCCAAATGTGAGGCCCTCCGCTGCGCAGTGTATCTGTTTTGTTCCAATCTGGAGGCTGTTTGTGTTTACACCCCCATGAAACACTGTCGCTGCGTGAACGAAAGGCCAATCCGATAGACAACTCCATCGCTTTACTGTCGCAGCGTGTCTGTGTAAACGGGGCCTAAATCTTATTTTGACACCTAGGGATGTCAAATGGAAGATCAACATGTTTGACAACTATGATTTTAAAGCTCACAATTTTATTACAGTAAATTTAAACAAGCCTAAGCCTTTAATAAGAAATCTCTTCAATCTTTAATCAGGATGAAGTCCAGTGGGCTTAAATATACATTATGTGGAAAAGTTGTGTTTTTGGTCACAAAGATCATAACTTTGACTGTAAAAGTCACCATGAAATTGACAGCATAAAAATGCATTTTGGTCACTCACCTGGAACACTGTTGACTTTGAAGAAAACCATTAGAACGCAGCACTTAAACTTCTAAAAGGACATTCAGTGATGCTCAACTGCCTCCTCTATTGGGTGTGTCCCAGGGTTCTATGCACTGACCCATTATGATTTCTTTGTACTTTCTTTTAGGTGAGACTCCGTACAAATGCGCTCAGCCACATTGTGAGTCGAAGTTTGTGACATCGTCCGAACTGAAGAAACACATGAGGAGGCATCACCCAGGTCTGTGTCCTGGGAACATCTACTTTAAAAGGTCAATGTACCCTATTTTTTACAGTCTATGGTATCTTGTTTCAGATGGGAACAATGGCGTGCAGTGTTTGTTGTGCGGAAACAGATTCGCCAGTGTCAAAAACATGATCAAACATCAAGAAAAGGCTCACGCTGATGAAGTGAGGCAGCACAAAGAAAGGGCCAGAGCAGGTAACTCCACTGGATTTATACAAAGCTTACCTTTATGTAAGTCTGGAGATAGTCTTGTGTAAAGGTTTCCCTGTCATTCATTCATGAACATCCCCTTTGTTCATCCATTTCTCTGTCTCTGTCTCTCGCTGATCCTCCTGCAGGTGGTGAGTCCACTGAAGGTTGGCTGCGATGATACAGCCTTAGTGTTTCAGACAAAGTGGGTTTGAGTGTATTGCAGGCCATTGATTCTCAAGGCCAATGCTCTACCAACTGAGCCATTGTTAATTCAGGCAAAACGGAACATACCATCTAAAATTGACTTATGTATCGTAGACCCAGGGTCGCCAAATCACGGAGACATTTTTTTCTGGACCTTAGTTATGTTTATTGTTTCTTAAAGTACATTATTACAAGTATCTGTTTCCCACGTTTTTTTTTGGTAAACAAGAGTGCATTAAAGTGAGTTTACGTGCTCTTGTGAGTAGTTGTACCCGCGAATCAAAGACTGAGGAGGCAGCCAGTAAGACCCGCTTGTCTATACGGACTTTATGTGGCGTGATCAGTCGCTTGCCCCTTGTTTGTTTGGTATCACTCTTATTTTGAGTGAAAACAATTTTCAATGCTATGTATGCCTTGAATAGTTTGAAATAAGTCCAATTTTTTTCAACAATGAGGAGGATTAAGCAACTGTTACAGTGGAGCTCATAACTCTGGATCAACATAACCACATCCAAGATCACAGTTCTGATCAATATTACAATAAATGCTACTTTTAACAACATTTGAGGCAAGAAATATAACCCTTTATTGTCATTTCAATGATTTGTTGAGCTGTAAATAATAAAGTAAGCAGTAAGATTGTACAGCCTGTATTAGGTATTTTGTATTTTGCGAGCAGTTGCCACAACTGCACACGCCACAGAAAAATAGCATCACACAGAAGACTCTTGCGCCGCTGCGTGACATCGGCTGCAACCCAGCAATACACACGGCAAAATACAATCTTCCCCTCCCGACACAGCAACTAGATGAATACACAGCGGTTGTGGTTATCGGCCAAAGTTCACTCATCCGTTTGATGCCGACATCGATATGTATACTGATATATTGAGCATCCTAACGGTAAATGTATAGAAATGATCCACTAGTGTCATGGATGATCAGATACAGCGGATAGAAGCATTACTGTTTTTTTTCATGAATCAATCCACCTTCTTTTCTCCAGTGTCAGCTTATAAACTTGTTATTTTTTAGTGGTGATGTTGGCGTCCAGTCACCCGGTCGCCTTCGTCCAGAGCAAACTGTCCCAGGACCAAAAGAGCCTCGTCTTCAGCGAACCCTCGAACCCCGAACCCTCTACACCTGACGCCAAAACCGACCTCACGATGGAGGCGGACCCCGACAGTGCGCACCTGGCCATGGTCAGTGAGGCCGCCAGCGCTCACTTGACCATGGTCACCGACGCGGCTGCTCTGGACCAGGGCTCCATCACAATGGACACGAGCACGGCTGCAGCCCTCCTTGAAGACTTCAAAGCAGAGCCCTCGCACGCGGCCAGTGGGGAGGATGCGGGGACGGTGAGCTTCGAGACAGGCGGCGAGGAGCAGGCCATTACGTCCGACACGCTGCACGCTCTGGTGGAACAACTACGCCCCACGACCCCCGCGCCCAACCTGGAGCAGATTGTCATCATTCAGACTGTGGATGAGGCCGCGCAGGCGCAGAGCAGCACGTAGGCTTTAGCTGGGGTTGTCACGGTGAAATCAACGTTGTGTAATAATCAGGAGCTACATTTGGAAGTGCGATTTATGGCCACATCAAAGTACCATGCATTACAATAATGTAAAAGGAACCACTTGGGCTCCATAGGATTATCTGTTCCCTTAAGGCAGAGAGTATTGTAAACATTTTTTATCAATGTTTTATTTATTGCATACTTAAAGGTATACAGGAGGATTTTCTACTTCCGGGTGAATCATCAAGATTATTGGTCCTCCCAATTGTTAATTATTCTGGTGATACGTTCTCATTAAATAAGAACAGGAAAAGTGGAGAAGGCGGTTCTTTGCAAAAATCTTCCTATATACCTTTAAGGTGTCACGATATGCCTCTTTAAGCTGAGGGCTTAATCCATCACTGTAAAAGCTACACTATGGTTGTACTAATGCATTTGACTATAGGTCGACCAAAGTTAAATGGATTGGATTCATATATATCCCCTTTGTGCCGTTTGAAAATCAGGTACTCATATTGAACCTTCAAGCTGGGGTACACAACTTCATTATAAGTGTCTGTCCCAACAGAAAAGGTAAAATTTTGTTTTCTTATATGATGAAGACTTTGGTCCAAAGATGTTGTATTTGGATTTCAGAACATGTTACGTTATGACTGAGCTGAGAGCTCATTGGCTGAGTGAGGCGTGCTCTTTTTTTTCCACTTTTATGCCTGAAAAAGCTGATCTAAAGATGTGACCGCCACCATAAATACAAACATGTGAAAACAGTTAGCTTTCTTAGTCCTATTTTGTGGTTTTAATGTTTGGTACCCCAGCTTTAAGTCACAAAAACCGAGTTAGGTAATCTCATATGCAACATTGAAAGTACGCCTAGTTGGCCTCTTATCACACGCTGAGTGGTTTTGAGGTGCATTTAACCCGTCACAATGAATTTTAAAACTCAGAAGAAACAATTTAGGGGACTGTATTGAAAACTAAAACTAATTGATCTCTGCTTTAAGAATGTAAAAATTCCTGCCTTTGTTACTGCCCCTGTACAGTAAACAGAAGTACCCTATAGGCACTAGTTTGACTTAAATTTGTGGCGTTCTCTTCCATTATGTGAACCGAAATCAGGAAGGATACTTTTTATCAGTTCACAGCAGGAAAGAAAACTGGACTTGTCTGATGAAAATGATCAAGATGAAACCTCCGGAGCTTGTAAATAGTTTTTTAAATGGCTGTAATCCTTTGAACTTAGGTTTAACGGTTGTACATATCTCGGTGGTAATCCATGCTTTCTATAGTCTATATCCATTCTACATTGCATAGATTTTAAAGACTAAACTACTAGGCATTAATTAGACAATAACCTGCTACTCTATACTAACATTTTGATTTATTTTTAGATACATTTATTTTTTACTTACCAAACCTATTAAAAGGCTCCCTACATTAGAAAGCCCATAACATAATCATATGTTTTTGGCTTATCCTCTTTGTTATTTTTCAATTGCTTTTCAACTCAATTGCTTTTGAGTTTTAATTTTAATCAGGTGCCAGAACTACATGTGAAGAAATGTGAAAGGCTGAAACCACTAAACATTGTAAGAAAATAAAAAGCTGAAAATGTCCATTGTGAATTGTGTCATCTATGAAGGAGGATTATTTTATTTTTTTTCAAATAATTAAGTTACCAATGACAGAGTCTAGCACAGATCCAGTACAATACTCTGTAGATGTCTTTATATTAATATTAGTGCAGTTATCATTGTAAACCACATCAAAGAACTTCAAAATGTGTCTATTGAATTTGTATTGTTTTTTTAGTGAACAAATAAAACTAAATATTGTGTATAAAGGAGAAATTGTGGTTATCTAGAAAAGCATCGATGTAAGTGACTTTCGGACACTGGCCATCTCCTGCTGTTGCTGAAACAAAGAAATACAAACAACAATTAGAACATAATTAAATAATAAAGGATTCAGATTGACTGTTAAGCGGAGGTGGCAAAAGTATTAGTACTAAAGTAAAGTGGCCAGTGTTGGGAGTGCAAAAGTTACAATAGTAACTATGAATGAATGAGCCGTAGTCCCTGCCACGGTGCCACCTTCCGACGCCAATGTTGTACTAACTAAATAGTCACCGTTATCAATTCCTCTTGGATTAAAAAAAAAAATAAAATTGGACGTATTACTAGATACAGTCAAAGTAACTCATACCTCATTTTAGTGCACATTGTCCTCATTGTTTAAAATCATTTTCAGCCTAAGATATTCTCATTATGGCTAAAAAATAATGTTGCTTTTTGTTCCAGAAGTATATCTAATCAAGTGTTCTGGGCCAAACGTAACTTAAAGTAGTGAAACTCATACATTTCAAAAACATTAATATTATAATTTACTGTATCCCAGTAACTAGTAACATAAAGGTGTACTTGTACTCGTGTCCTGTAAAAGTATAATGTTTTGTTCTGGTGTTTATGTACAACTGATATGTGTGTTTTTGATTAAAAGTGACTTTCACACCACTTCAACTTAGACACTTACAATATCGATGAGGATCTTCTTCTGCAGCGCGCTCATCTCTCCGCGCAGCTCTTGCATTGCCCCCTGGAGGAACGCCTCGTGGCTCTTCTGCATCTCCTCTGAGTTCTTCACGAAGGCCTCGTACAGCTCGCGCACACACTTGAGTTTGTGGCTGTGCGCGGCTCTGGCCTGTTGCAGAATTTTCACCTGCTGTTTGAACAGGTTATTCATGCGCTCCTCCTGCTCCTCGCCACGCTGTGCATCCAGCTCCCACTGCTGAAGCACCACCGACACCTGCTGCGAGTACTTTTGGGTGAGTTTTTGCCGCTGGCTTTGGTGCATGCTCCACTGCTGCTCCAGTTTGTGTTGGCTGACCTTCATGTAGTTGTTGGTCAGGGATTCCAGGCGCTTTTTCTTGGCCTGCATTGTGGGAGGGAGTAGCGGAAAGAGGACTGAGCATTTGGGCTCAAGTAAACGTGTGGTTACATTTTCATTATTAATATCAATTCAATGCATTCTTGTATAGCCCCAAATCACAGCAGTAGTTATCTCAGAGGATTTTACACAACCGTTGAATTCGCCAACACAGATCAGAGAATCAAACCGAAATGGTCCAAAAGGGGCAAGTAACCAGTGTCCATAAGTGTTGATGCCAAATAATGACTTTCCTAGAAAAGGGTCCGTTATTAGCTTGTCAATCTAATCATGTAATAACGTTCTATAGTACAGCAATAAGGTACACAACATTAAAAAAAAATCTCTTCTTCACACCCAAAAGACACAACCAAGGCGGAAGTTCTCAGAGTTGTAAAGAGTTTGCCACAGACAAACACCTAAACCTTGTGAGGTGAGAACACAAAGGTGAGTCCACAAGAGGTAACATCGAACCCAGGACCTTCTTGCTGTGATTCACAATCACTAACCACATGAGACTGCCATAAGATACAGTAAGAATTGTTTCTCCAGAGATGCAAAGGAGAACAATTTTAGAAGCACTTTTTTTCTCTGGGATGGAGAGTGAATTGTAGCTGCAATAGCAAACTGTGCTGGAATGTAAAGCTGTTGCACCTGCACTGCCTTGGAGATGTCTGAACCAAACTGCTCCAACATTGACTGGAACCCGGGGCCCGCAGGAGCCTCATCTCCCCGAACATCATCAACGTCTGAGGAAGCGCGCTTCTTGGAGAACATTTCAACAAGGGGATCTGGAAAATAGACATTAACAATTAACTACCACCTATAAAATAAAAAAACAGTATATTCATATTCAGTTTATGCTAGTAACGCTACCAACAGCGGCGTAGATTTAGATAGCTAATGCTAGCAGGTAGTAAAGATTACCATACTTTCGTTTTCCTTGGATGAAGCAGCTCGCAAGTCTGGGTTCTTCACTTCTTTTAATATCTTCCTGTCTGTTTTGTCAAAAGGGTTCGCCGTATTGTTTTGTCTTTTTGTTAATGGCATGTTTGGTTTGACTTCAATTAACAACGGAAACAGTTTTGGTATCGCAAATTTCCCGCCACGAGGGTGTCTCTTGTCACGTTCTGCAGTAACTTAGCCTCTGGCACGTAGCCATAGCAACCATACAATGCAACGCTTTAGTAAATTATAACAATTGAATACAATAAAGGAATGGGGTCTCTACAGATAAAATAACACGTGAACGTATGGAACATCATTTCCCCACGTATTTATATGTTTTTAATTTAATGAACGTCACTCCACGTCCTAACACGTCGCCATGGCAACCCAATACACTTTCCTGCGGTGATGACAATGCTAGCGTTAGCTGAAGTTTATCACACTTTTTGCGCAGAAAATCAAATTAAAACCAATTCACACGTTTCTGACGTTTTTGGGAAAACTCTACCCTCAGAGTAAGTAACATTAAAGTGGCTGATAGCACTTTTATCCGCGCTGTTGTGCACTTATGGTGCACATACACATTACTAACAAACATGTTTTTCTCGTTTCTTTCTAGAAATGTTGTCAAACTTTCAGGTAACAACAGACTAAATCCTGTTCAAAGACTTGATGATGCAGATGCTCATGCACTTTCAAAGTGCCTGCTAAACAACAAAGATGTGACAGGTGAAGTGGGGTTGAAACGAATGAAACGGGTTGAAATGAATGATCAAATATAATTGATATGAACTATCTACAGCTCTAGATCTGAGCTACAACAACATTACAGATGAAGGCGCAAACCACATGTCTGAGCTCCTTCAGGTACTTTATGAATAGCTATATTTGAATATATAGCTTTAATATTTCACTTAGCATTTTTAACATAATTGCTTTTCCTTCTTCCGGTATATAGCGAGGAAAATCATTGCATTTCCTGGATCTCACATTCAATAACATTGGGGAAAAGGGTGCACAACGCTTCTCCCAAAGCCTCCAGGTAAAGCTCCTTGATTACAGAAAAAAAAACCTGTCGAAATGATAAGTAATACTGATAGAACATGGTTTGAACATTTTAGTCAAATGAAAAACTATTGTCCCTCACTCTTTCGGGGAATAAAGTGATGAATGCAGGAGCAATGAGTTTAGCCCATCTGCTGCAAGTCAACAACACTCTTCAAGTACTGCGCTTGGCCGGCTGTGAACTGGTAACTATGACTTATATTGATATTCTTATTTTGTACGGTGTATACTATAGTTATTAGCATGAATTTTGAGCTCAAGTAATTCTTTATTCAAAGGCCAACATTGTGTGTGATCATAACTCCTAAATCTAACTGAATTCATATATATTACCCATGTGAAGTATTAAAAACCATTACAAGAATCAGTTATTTGAGCGAGTGAGTTCCACAGCCAAAGACAAATACAATGAATTACAAATTCAGATGAAGTATTTGCCTCCATCATTGTAGTTAGAATGAAATCAGATGTTTGTTTTGTCAGGTTCATGTCTCTGCACATCAATAACTGCTCCTTCGATACAAAGAAATTGATTCTTGTATAGCTCTAAGTAACAACAGTAGTAGAAAATCAAACCGTTCAAACGCAGAAAAAATAGAACACATAGGTATTGGTCCATAGGGAGAGGACCAATACCATATGGACCAACGTCCATGAATGTTGATAAATGTCCATAATCGCTGTAGAATGTAGATTGTCCTGGATTGTCACCACAGTCCTTCTTGTTAGACACTAACTGTCCATCAGCAAGGAACAAATCTAAAACTCAGTGGGAGAAAAGTGAGAGATCCACATTGAGAGAGGGATCCACTCCACACGGACGGACGGGCTATAGATCCAAAGCTACGCGGTACAGAACTCAGGTTGTAGAACAAGGACAGGTTCGGTGCAGGACTGAAGTAGCTCAGTCGAGGAGGGCAGGGCAGTCGCAGGTGCAGATGGAGGATCGATGCCGTTCTCATAGACTCTGACTGAAAGAGTTATTGTTTTGATATTAAGATATGAACATTCAAGACAGAAATGTACGTAATCAAAAACAAAGTGAAGAATGTGCCTGGGAAGTTTTATTATAATTTGTACACTATAATATTCTATTGTATCCTTTGTCTGAAAGTGACAGATGTAATGTAAGGTCATATATCCAGCCACTTCACCTGCTCAGGGAGTACAGGGGTAATAGTGTTTATTGAACACTGTTGAACGCTGAAACAAGAACCAGACATACCGTACCATACTCTTTTGTATTTATGTTTTTTATTTTTCTGAAAAAGACTTGTTTTTAACGGAAACTTGTAGTTAAGTCATTTAGATCTGGCCTAAATATTGAGATATGACACATTGTTCATATTGTTCAATGCAATCATAGACGTATTCTTTTTTGTTTGAACAGCAGGAGTGTGGTGCTTCTGTTTGAGTCTGTGGTCTCTCTCCTTCAGGATACCCAGAGCGTCATTGCTTTTGCCATTGCTTTGAAAAGCAACAGTACACTGCGCTGCCTGGATCTCAGTCGGCCTCTGCTGTGCGGAGAGCAGGTCATACTTTACTTTTACCTTTTGAATTTTTCTGTGATGTCTATCTTTTGGATTATCTTCAACTCATTTCAGGAGGAGTGGGCCGTGCACTTTGCTCATATGCTGGCGGAGAACCAGAGCCTTCTGGAGCTGCATTTAGGGACCATGGGAATAATGACGTCTGGGATGGAGAGACTCAGCAAAGGACTGCTCTTCAACTACAGCTTAAAATACCTCGATCTGCGCTGGTCAGAAATTAATTATGTATTTATTTATTTAGTTTGCACAATGAAGTGATATTTACAGTTTACCGTATAATGATGACAGAAAAGACCACAAAGAATATTTCACTAAAATAAATTCTATAAATACCTATTGATAAAGGAAATGCAAAAAGTAAACATAGATAAATTCAAGAAGAATGTATTCTTCTCCCTGTGATTACAATCAGAGATAATAGAGCTGTTGTGAAGGTTGAGTGGAAAAATAAATTAGGCCAGGGCAGCTTATAAGGTTGTGTTCATGTGACATCACAACATTACAAACTGCCGCCCTGCCCTTAGCTCTAGAGACATACTGGGATCTCACATGTAGGTGGCGCCACAAACTGCAAACTGATGACTCAGTCGCTCCCTAATATTTTAGTTCTTAATATCTATCTTTATGTTAACTCTGGTGAGTGTCCGATAACTTTTCTAATTCCTGGGCCAATCCACATGAAACAAATACTGTTACCAAGTTATCCACCTTTTATATTCTGTACACGGCTTTATTGTCTAGATTCAAAAGTATCTAGAAGTGGTGACAATATTCAAAAACATTTACATGATGTTGGCCTGTAGAAATCTGACATCAGAATATTTTCAAGTTTGGGAATCTAATCACTATCAAATAATGATCTGGGAAAACATTTATACATTTTCTGTTTCAACATTTCAGTCAAGTTTCATTGCCCTTTAATTACTAATATAATTCTATAACATGAATGCAACCAATGAAACCAACTCACTTTTGACTAGCCATCAAATCAAAAGTGAATATGTTGTATTTTTCATGTGTTTAGTAACCGTGTGACTCGGGACGACGTCAGGCCATTGGTCGATGTGTTGCTGAGGAACGGTTCCACTCTGGAGATGCTCGATCTCTCGTCCAATCAGATCAAAGACCAGGGCGCGGTGTGTCTGAGCCAGGCGTTAGTGTCTCCAAACTGTTCGCTTAAAGAGTGAGTGTGTCTTTATTTACACAAGGCAATTATTCCACCACTGTTTGGTTAGCACTCATGCCTCACAGCGAGAAGGATGAGGGTTAGATTCCTCTGCTGGCCCGGGACTGTCTGAGTCCTGAGAGTCCTGTATATTTGCTTGTACCTCCCAATGTCTGGTCAGGTGTCCTCTGGGCGCTCCGGTTTTTCCCATCACCCAAAACATGCACCAAAGATAAAAGCCTCCAACTCCACTCTGCGCTCTGCTCCTGAGAAGTTGTCGGAGTAACGTTGCAGGACGGGTTCAAATACAGAGGACGTATTTCGCTATGCACAGTTCATGAACAAGGAAAGTGCTCACAAACAAGAAAGAATGTAAATCTCACAAGGCATTAAAATAATAAATAATCACACTGCAGTAAAACATCGTGAAAATACAGTCCTTGTTGTAGGCCCAATGTCAGAGCAGAAGCCCATTTTACATTTTTAAGACTGTTCCAGATTCATATGTCATATTAATAATACTAATACTAAATAATTGCAGTAGTTTTCCATAAAGCAGATCAAATACAAAGAATACAGTTAAAACAGGGGGCGACAGTAGCTCAGTTGGTAGAGCATTGGCCTTTGAGCCTGAAGGTCGTGGGTTCAAGCCCACCGTAAGACCTACTTCACGACTCCCACTGATGACTGCTGTCGTTGTGTCCTTGGGCAAGACACTTAACCCCACTTTGCCTGAAGCTCCCACTGAAAGATCTCAGCTCCTGTGGACTCACCACCTGCAGGAGGATCAGTGAGGGGCTGGTGCTCCGTGAACTGGGTGGCATCTCTGGCCACCCCCCCGACCCAGAAATGGATTAAGGGGAAGAAAATGGATGGATGGATGGACAGTTAAAACATAGACTCACTCCATCCCACATACTTAAGTGGTATTTTTACTGTCAAGCATGTACTGCATATAACATAACAAATATTCATGTTATTGACTGATTTTGTTGCACTGAAATCCCACTATTGTCTTGGTTTACTCATAACAGTTTTGTTTCAGATTGTCTCTTTGCTCCAACAACATAGACTCTGAAGGTTTGCTGTCTTTGGCCGAAGCCCTGACTCTGAACTCCACTTTGACTCACCTTTACATCTGGGGCAACCGTTTTCAGGAGCCTGTCTGCCTGGTACTATCACATGAACATTTACACCAGCCATTCAAGAAAATAACAGTGTAGGCTGTAGGTGAAAACTGAATTGGTCAAATGCAGAAGATTAAAATGATCCAAAATCCTCTGCAACTTCGACCAAAGCCTTACGGTTGCAGAGGATTTTCGGATAATTCAATAAAAAACAGCTGCGTTGGAGGGTTGGTCAAATGCTACATTTTTCTTATGGGCACAGTAAAGTATATGGAAGACTATTGGCACCTTAATTCAATTGTCTATTCATTTGTCAAATGGCTATGCATTATGTTATTTTAGTATTTATTTTGTATTTGTATTTGTCAAAGTGTAATGTTATATCCAATTTTGACATTTAATGTTCTATTCCAAAAGTTCTAATGGCAATTCAATATGTAAAGTGTCGATACAATGTCTTTATATATTGCAAATTACAAGATTTTGAAATGAATAGCATATTGACATGGAAATTTGGCCTCTTTATTCATTGTTCTATTCATTCTTAACATGGCCTTTAGTTTAGAGTTGTATTTGGCAAAATGGCATGTTATATCCTATTTTGACTTGTATTCCACATTTGAGTATGTTAAGTTTCATTTAATGTGTTGTGAAACAGCACCTCCCTCTGGATTGCATTGCATATTGCATATTGCATTGCCACATGGTTTGAGTGCAACTTAATTCAATATGCTATGCAGTTCTTGACCCCTGGGAAGGCGGGCCCTGGTCCGCTCTCGGCCAATCAGAGACAAGTCTCTGTTAAAAACGGGCTGCTCTTGGTCGGTCACCAGTCACAGTTAATGTCAATCAATCAATTAGTTTATTTCAAAACCTGCACAAACATTTTTTACAACGGTTCATCTTGTAAAGCACATGCATGGTTTGAAAAGGGGGTTGGCAGAAGCAGAAGCTTATTTATATCCAACCACCTCTCACACACTCTGTACAACGCAACCACAATGCAAAAACAAGAAATCACAAAAACAAAAAACAAAACAAGCAAAACAAAAAACAAATCTATATCCCCTTGGACTACCCCCACCGGTCAGGTAAAGTAGAGCATATACAATATTGTAGCGATACAACACACAACAAAACCAGACAGGACAACCAGGACAGGACAAGACAGGACAGGACAGGACAGGACAGGACAGAACAGGACAAGACTCACTCACTCAGACACTGGCCCCGGACGTTCTCCGACCACACACCACTCGCTCAATGCTCAGCTACTGCTCAGGGAATCATGCTCCCTCTTCTGCGTATTTCTGCAGTAATTCTTTTTTAAAGTATTTTTTAAACTTGGTCATGTTGGAGCATGATTTTAATGCTTCCGTTAAATCTTTCCAGATCTTCACTCCTCTGACTGAGACACACATTGATTTCAATGTTGTTCTCACTTTAGGGACATAAAATTGTTTGTTTCCTCTAAGCCTGTATCTATGATGGGCGTCTCTATCATGAAAAAGGTTTTGTATGTTTGCTGGCAGAGAGCTTTCTGATGCCCTGAACATTATCTGAGCAGTTCTTAGGCTAACCAAGTCATGTAGTTTAAGTTGATTAGTTTTGATGAACAAGGGATTAGAAGGATGTCTGTAGTGAACATTAGACACAATCCTTATGGCCTTTTTTTGTAAAATGAATAAGGGCTGCAAATGAGACTTATAGCAGTTTCCCCACACTTCAACACAATAATTCAAATATGACATTATGAAAGAATGATATAATAACATAAGCGCATTGGTATTAATTAAATGACAGGATCTCTTCATCATTCCCACACATTTTGCAACTTTTGTCCGCAGGTAACTTATGTGAGGTTTCCATGTAATTTTGTTGTCTATAATAACTCCCAAAAATACATTTTGTTTGACATTCTCAATAGGTGTATCATCAAGTACTATTCTGACTGGTATTTTACTTTTACGATTACTGAAAAGCATAATTTTAGTCTTTTTTAAGTTGAGTGACAATTTGTTATTATTAAACCACCTCATTAATCTGGTCATCTCCACTGTTACGAGGGACAAGAGTTGCTCCAAGTTATTTCCTGAGCATGTAATTGTGGTGTCATCCGCAAAAAGTATAAAATTTCATTAATGTTGATACTTTACATACATCATTGATGTACATGAGAAACAGTGTGGGTCCCAGAATTGACCCTTGGGGAACACCACAGGTGATGTCTCTGAAACCAGACCTCTGTTGTTCAAACTGTACAAGTTGCTTCCTACCATTCAAATAACTCACCAACCAGTTTAGGGCCGGCCCCCTTATGCCATAAGCCTCCATTTTGTTTATTAGAATATGATGATCGATCGTATCAAAAGCTTTTTGGAGGTCAATGAATATTCCTAGCACAAAATATTTTTTTTCTATACCGTTTGTAATGTCCTCCATCAGGTCTATCAGAGCAAGAGATGTTGATAGTTGTTTTCTGAATCCATATTGAGCGACAGACAGTAAATTGCACTTGTGAATGAAATCACGTAATCTAGTGTCAAACAATTTTTCCAGTATTTTGGAGAACTGTGGCAGAAGGGAGATAGGCCGATAGTTATTGAAGCTGTTTTTATTTCCTGATTTGAATATTGGGATGACTTTTGCCCTCTTCATTTGGGAGGGGAAGTCGCCAAGTTGAAATGACAAATTGCAGATGTATGTGAATGGTTTAATAATCTCTGTTGCTATCTTACGTACGGTTCTCATATCAATGTCGTCGATATCTCTAGATGTTTTGTTCTTAAGTGTCCTTATAATGCTATGGACTTCCTCCTCATATGTGGGAGTGAGAAACATTGATCTGTGATTTATTTCAATCAATCCTTTCCCAGGGTCACTTTCCGATGGGATCTTTTTTGCAAGTTCCGGGCCTATACTGACAAAGAAATTATTAAAACCATCTGCAATACTCTTTTTATCAGTTATGATAGTTTCGTTCTCCACAAAAAACCCTGGATAACACAGGCTGAAGCTTCGACCGATCATATTATTCAATATGTTCCAAATTGCTTTGATATCGTTTTTTTTAGTTAATAGTAAATTTGTATAATATTCTTTTTTACTTACTCGCAATATACTAGTTAATTTGTTTTTGTAATTTTTATATCTCATTTCATTTTCACTCGTTCTAACTCTAAGAAATTGCATATATAGGTGTTTTTTTTCTTTTTGCAAGCATTCGAAAGCCCTTTTGTCATCCATGGTGTCTTTGTGTGATCCTTTTTGTTGCATTTTTTGACTGGATAATGTTTATCATAAAGGGTGGTGAGTATCTGAATGAAGGCATTGTAAGCTGTGTTTACATCTGGCGAATGGTAGATGAACTCCCAGGTTTGATTTGCCAATTCGTTTTTTAGAGCTATTGTTGCTTGATCGGTGATTACTCTATAATGGTGTTCGCTTTGGGCAGGCGTGGTTATTTTACAGTTTGTGTCATAGAACAGGAAGACTGGTAGGTGGTCACTCACATCATTTACTAGAAGGCCACTGGTTAGGTTTTTGTCCAAAGTATTACAGAAAATATTGTCTATTAGGGTAGCGCTATGTGAAGTGATTCTTGTTGGTTTGGTAATAAGTGGATATAGGCTCATTGAGAACATGGTATCTAGGAGTTCTTCAGTGGGTTTATGTTTTTTAGGATTTAATAAATCAATATTAAAGTCTCCACATATAATAACATCTTTTTTACTTTTGTTCATAAATATTTTTTCCATCCATTCATTGAAAGCCTTAATGTCAGCTCCCGGTGCCCTGTAAACACAACTTACAATAATTGGTTTGGTTTTTGGAATAGTTAATTCCACCGTTATGCATTCATGCATTCATGCATGTGAAGCCGATTCAGACAGTGACATGGCATATCTTCTAACTACAGTGGGCAGTGCACACTTGGATCTTCAGACGCACTCCGAGTCAGCACCGTGCGGAGAAAAACACAAGTTGTGAACTGTTATGCTAAGGTGGCCCTCAGTTGTAGCCATAGTGTACACTTTATGGTTTTAGTGCGATTTATTCCTAATTTCCTATATGCTCATTCCTCGCTTAAAATAGCAGAGTTACTGCCCTTCAACTTGTTAGCAACAGGCCATGTTAAGAATGAATAAAACAATGAATAAAGAGGCCAAATTTCCATGTCAATATGCTATTCATTTCAAAATCTTGTAATTTGCAATATATAAAGACATTGTATCGACACTTTACATATTGAATTGCCATTAGAACTTTTGGAATAGAACATTAAATGTCAAAATTGGATATAACATTACACTTTGACAAATACAAAATAAATACTAAAATAACATAATGCATAGCCATTTGACAAATGAATAGACAATTGAATTAAGGTGCCAATAGTCTTCCATAAAAGTATACCTTACCTGAATATTGCAATACCATCCTGTCCTCCTACTCTGACACAAACTACCACTTAAAAGAGCGATATGTAAAAATCTGGCCAAAAGTGGTACTGCAGCCTCTCCCACTCTCTCTGACACAGGTTGCCAGATATGCGACCTGTGATACGAATCTAGCGTGAACCATAACATTTAACTAGATTTGTCAACTACACATTTTTCACAAATCCTTTTATTCCTAGTTTTGTTGTTAATGATTTGATTTAATCATAACAAGGCCTTTTTTTAGTTCTGCGACCACATGTTCCTTTACCTGTGAGATTAGCTGGACGGGGTGAGTTCTGGCAACCCGGATCACTGACTCTCTGATTGGTAAAACAGTGGAGGGCAGGACATTGAAATGAAAACAAAAACAAGATTTAGGAGCTGTACAATTAATTTTTAAGTTGGAATATCTCGGCTGAACTACGGTTATCAGTTAAAGAAGTATTTGATAAGAGCATGGTTTATTAATACCTTTTGACAGATTAGGGCCCTTTAATGATGACTTGACTTGAAATCTTACATATTGCTACTTTAACTATAGCCAACTTTATAGCAAAGTTTACACAAGTCTTGGTTAAAATTCCACAGGGAAGAAGAGGGGATAGCAGTCCATCTTTAAATACTATTTCCAGTTTTGCTTTTGTTTCTAGGCTTTCAGAGACTTGATAGAAAATGGCCGCCTTCACCCGGACCACACCGACGTCAGAGCGTACGAAGTGGATGATCACGTCTTTCTCGCTCAGGTTTTTCAGACTTTACGAAGACAATTCTATGAACCGAAAAACAACACTGATCATATATCAAGCGAACCTGAGCGGCCCGCGGACACAACCACAGCAAAGGGAATGAGGTTCCATGTGTAAAAATGTCACTATCGCCAAACATAGATTGGCAACAAATAAAACATTAATCTAAAACTCTTTCTGTGTTTGACAATTTATCAGCTTCCAATGAGAACTCTGACTCACAGTTTCCCTCAACAGATATTCATGGATTTACTACTTTGACTCCGCCCCAGTCTATTAGCAATAGGACACATGTTTATAGTCTAAACAGATCAGTAGAGGAGTCCTTACATGGAAACTAGCAGTTCATGTGTTTTTTGCGAAGCTTTGATCATAACATTCAATCGTGTTGTGTCCAGTTACAACAGTTATCTATCCGCTTTGTTTTATCAGCTGTTGGTTAAGTCGTACATTCCAACATGAAAACTTGTGGCTTAGGATTAAGAGAACCATATTTGTCCCACAGTGGGGAAAGTGTCAGAGCAGTATACGTTACAGAACAGTAGATATGAGGAGCACACAACACAACAACATAAGTGAATATTAAGTATGGCACAACTTTTTATTTTTTATTCAAGTGCGGCCTTTATGTGGACAAAATGTACTTTATTTTTAAACTGAGCAGGTCTGGTTTATATATACAGTCACATGTAAAGGAGCAGTATGGTCAAATCTGGCCAAAAGTGGTACTGCAACCTGTCACCCTCTCCCTGACTCAGGTTGCCAGAGGTTTGTCAACAACAAATCTATAACCAACACATTTTTCACAAAGGCCCCGAGATAAATTCAAGTTTCATTCCTTGGTTTGTCATTAATAATTTGAGAATCATAACGAGACCTTTATTAGTTCTGCGGCCACATGTTACTTTACCAGTGAGATTAGCTTGACACAGTGAGTTTTGGCAACCCAAATCCGAAGAAGTATTCGAAAAGAGCATGATTTATTAACGCCTTTTGACAGATTAGGGCCATTTAATGATGACTTGACATGAAAATCTTACACATTGCTACTTTGATAGTCCAGCTGGTCCTGTATATACATTTAAGTGCTATTGCTCAGACAATCATTATTTTCATTTCTATCCATACATACTCCTTTTTTACTTACCATTTGAAAGACACAGAGGATTTTATGGAGTTGTGTTGGATCAATATAGACATTCACAACATCAAAGTGTATCAAAGTGATTCACGGATGTCATTTAATACGAGACAAATTCACACTGATTGGTGTAAATTATTACTCTAGAAGCAGTCCCCAACATAATCTTGGAGAGCAAGTAAGTAATCTTTCTACAGACCAAGTCACCCAAAGTGCTTTACAATGTTCAGGTATTGTTTGATTTTCTCCACGCAGTGAGGACGGAAGAGAGACCATTCATTCACTCACTCATTACATTCATACCTTTTGTGCATGTTTTTAGTGTTAGGGGAAACCAGAGCACCCCAAAGAAACCAATGCAGACACAGGGAGAACGTGCAAACTCCACTCAGAAAGGCCCTGTTCCGACCACTCAGCCACTGTGTCGCTCGATGGAATTGGTAGAATTGTTTTTTTTTTTACTCCTCAGGTTGATTGTCTTTGTCCTGGCTGTTTTCCTCTGTGTCCATCTCTAAAACTACGTGTCTCTTCTTCAAACTATGATCCAGTTGTAGTTTTTCCTTCCCGCCGGTCGTCCATCCTTGTAGTCCGAGTCTTTTCAGATTCGTCAGACGAGGAAGAGCGCGGAGCAGAGCGGGCAGCCACTCAGAGCAGGCGGCCGCGGTGGAGGCTCTGAGGCTGAGGTCCAGTTCCTCCAGTGAAGGCAGTCCTCCTGAGGCCAGCAGACCGGACCAGCCGCTGGGCCCCACCGAGCTGTTGTAGCAGAGATCCAGGACCCGCAGAGAGGAGAGGAGGCCCCCGCGACTCGCTGCAGCTGAGAGGACAGTGAAGACAAACACACATCATTTTTAAAGGTTTTAGCTCCCAAATGTAAATGACTTTTGAATTTTACTTTGGATTAGAGCAGAGAAAAAGGTCCGAACCAAGCGGCTACTCCACCTCTGCTGCTCTGACCGTCCTGCTCCACCCAGAGGCTACTCCACCTCTGCTGCTCTGACCCGTCCTGCTCCACCCAGAGGCTACTCCACCTCTGCTGCTCTGACCCGTCCTGCTCCACCCAGAGGCTACTCCACCTCTGCTGCTCTGACCGTCCTGCTCCACCCAGAGGCTACTCCACCTCTTCTACTGTGACCTGAAGGGCTGTCGCTGATTAATTCTATTTTTTACTTTTTAGAATGATCAATTAATTTTTTTATTTTTGCAGGTACTGGACACCAGCATTTCTCCTACAGGGATCAATAAAGTATCTTTGTATCTAAAGCCCAAATTCATGGGCTTTATATTTCTGAGATTGTGGGAGTTAAAGCATTAATCGTTGTCCAAAGTGTGTATTATTGTTTATTTCAAGTAAGTAAGTACATAAGTTATCTTTATTTATATACCGCCTTTCACAGACCAGAGTCACAAAGCGGTTTACGATTGTGGGCATTTGTCTCTAACGCCACACAGAGATGGGAGCGGGGTAATATCTCGCATCTATATCTTTCTGTATCCTGTTAGTTTTTGTCTTTCGGTATACAAGTTAACATTCATTATTGTTCTTCTAAACACTGTCAAATTGCCATTATTATTACTATTATTATTTTATTTATTTATTTATACTATATACAATTCAATTCAATTCAATACTTTATTTCGGACACAAGAGTAAAAGATCCATACCAGAAGAGATACAAGAAACACATTGTGAAAAAACAAAAATGTAAAAATAGACTTTATTAACAGTCATGCCTATCTCCGCCGTTGAAACTAATGTGCCACCACTTTTGCCGCGCGACAGGAAAATGTACAATTAAAAAGCGATCTCTGCATGAGCCCCATTCTGAAGTCCACAGCGGCTAAACCCGACTGGTCCAAGAGCGACTTTAGGGCCATCCTGAAAAGACTTTTTCGAAGAATACGCTAAACAAAAGCATTGGGTAATTCTCTTTCCAGGTACACCCCCACCGGCTAGGAGTGGCACTGTAAGCATGTCAGCGTAAGTGCTCATGGACCTTTTGGAACCGGGACCCGCCCCCGCTGGTTTGTTTGCATATGTGTAGGTCACTGATATTGCCATGAAAAGTAAGAAATGTGGTTGTTGATATTTGAACGTGGAAAGCATCACAGGTCCAAACAACTTGCTAACCTTTCCCACTGCGCTCTTGCATCATTTCAACAAAGCCTATGGACGGGACTAAGCTAACTCATCTTACTGCTGGGATTGTTTTTGTGTTCTAGCATTTGTAAGAAAACTATAAATAAAGTTTGATTTTTTGAAGTTTGGGTGTGTGGCATTGTCGTACCCAGATGTTGGATGTCGTTGGTGGTGAGTTTGCAGCTGCTCAGTCTCAGCTCCTGAATCCCCGACGGCTGAAGAGCGTCGAGAAGCAACGACAGCCGGCCCCCGACCACTTTGCACCACGACAGGTCCACGCAGCGAAGGTACGGCACGGCCAGAGCTGAGACACATTTATAAGAACTCTCAGAAAACTGTGAATACAATGACACATGCTTCGTTACAACAGATCACTCGCTTCACTGTTCTTAAAAGCTGGAGTATTTTTTCATTTATTATAATCCATGTTGAAAATGTGTTTTGCAAATCAGACCATATCATCTCAATCTCTTAGAAAATGTTATTATCTAAACTACGAAAAGCCCTGTGAGTCAGTAGTTGACGTTTTGGGCTGAGAGTTGATAAGCGATGAGCATTCCTGTCTTTCTCACTTTTCCGTCTGAAAAAGCTGATCTAAAGCTGACACACTGCAAAAAAATGAATAAATATGAGGTAATAATTGCTTGAATAGTTTTTAGCTTATTTTGAGTACAATCTGAATATGTTCAAGCAAGATTCTCCAATGGGACAAAGCCATTTACTATTTTCTCATTCAAATGTAGACATTTCTTGTATCTTTTTTAAACAAGATCGTTGCTTTGTCCCATTGGCAAATCTTGTTTCAAGGCAGTCAAAATGTGCTCAAATTAAGATTATTTAGCCAAATTTGAGCATTTTTTAAAACTACATGCATGTGAAAACTAGTTACTGAAGCAAACTGTTTTGAGAGATAGATGGATTTTTTTTTTATTGTGAACTAAAAGTTAGGTCCCCCAGCTTTAAATCCCCTCTCTGTTATTCCCCACCAAACTAGAAACCTGTTCAAATCTGTCACAGCAGCAGTTGCCTCAAAGGACTTTACAAAAACAAATCTAAAGTCTGGCCCTGTTTCAGCATTAAGACATTCATCCGGATGCTTGTTGAATAAATAGTAATAATTAGTTGAAAGAAAAGGTGAGTTTGGAGTTTACCCAGAGCGCTGCAGGAGTCTGGGCTGAGGTTGCAGTTGTTCAGTGGGAGGGTTTTCATGTGAGTCAGCGGCAGAGCGGAGACCAGCGCCTGCACCCAGTCTCCCGCCTCCGGATTGGACGATACGTTCAGCTCGGTGATGGAAACCAGCGACGGCAGAACCTGGACTGGAGACACAATCGCGTGGAGGAGAGTTAATGGTTTTTGAAGTTTTTGAAACCACAAAATCTTTATTAAAATACATCTTACTACTTCCTTGCTCTCGTTACAATTTGGTTCTTTTCCTCAGGTATTTGTTTTTGTGACCAATTCTATGTTACACTGGGCCTCCATAAGGGTTAGCACTTTTTTACTGCTGAGTTTTTGAGTTGTCCTTTTCTGATGACAGTGATGGTCTGAGACATTTATTAACATTTATGGACATTGTTCATCCCACTCCCTACAAACCAATGACTCCTATGTGTTTCTCACCATTACATTTCCTGTGTTTGATTCTCTAATCTGTTGTTAACTGATCAACAACTTTGTTTAGTCTTCTGAGGCAACAGCTGTTCTGATCTAGGGCTGTAGAAATATCAATGTAACTGAATTGAACTGCATTGTGGAAAGAAATATTAGTTCAAATATAAAACTTTCGGAGTGTGAGCCAAAAAAAGAGTTTTGTACAATTTCTTTTCAAATTGTGTAGAT